CAGGAATGCTTTTTCCTTGGTTAGTCTCGGGCTAGATAATTTGATTCTATGGAGTCAATTAAAAAAATTTAATCCTATCAAGCAGAATTGGCATAAAACTGAAAAAAAAAAAAAAAAAACTATGCATACAATACTGTCAAATCAATGAACTTTATTGGGGAAAGAAATTCGGAGCCTCCAATTGGAAATCAAGCCTGCAAGCAATCACAATTCACATATTTTTACTTCAAAGATTAAGGATATGTTGGTTTCTGATTTGAATTTTTTTTATTTTTTTTTAAATTAATATATTTTTAGTGTTTTTAAATCAATCAAAAATAATTTTAAAAAAATAAAAAAAATATTTTTAATAATTATTTTAACATGAAAAGTTATTTGAAAAATAACCACAACATATTCTCAAATAAACTTAAAGACTTTAATTAAATTATTTTGTTTTATTTAAAAAAAATAAAGGGAAGGAAAGTTATTGTAGCCAAGGAATAAAACATTATTTACAATAAAATTGTAATTTAACAACTCAACCTTTGAATTAGCCGGTAAAAGTAAAATAATTTTTTTATCATGATATAATTATTTTTTATAAATTATATAATAAAATTACCAATTTAACCATATAATAAAATAATATAATACTTATTACTAAGAAGCATTTTGATCTTTTTAATTTTAAAAAAATTGTCAGCATGTATGGACGATTACTATGCTATTCGGGTAGCTCGTGTGAGAGGTTGTTCGACCACTAAATATTATTTTCTAGGACAGTGTTTGAAAAGTATCGGCATTCTCTATACGATAACATTGTGTGTGGACCAGACGAACCTCTAGTTTGACATTAATATTCATTTTTTTTAATTTTTTCTCTTCTCCTTAAATTCAGTGTCGATCCCTTTAAAATTTTAGACTATCCCCTTCAATTTCCTTTTCCTTCACATTTAGTTATATCCTTTTGATTACTATTTTTATTTATTTTGAATAACCTATAAAATTACAAATATTTTTTAATTTCACCCCTTTTTATTATTTAATATTTTAAATTCAGTCATTGTTCTTTTGATTACTATTTTTTTTTTATTTTGAATAATCTATAAAATTACATTTTTTTCCCAATTTCACCCCTTTTCTTTTTCTTTTTTATTTTTATAATTGCTATTTATTTTGTTTTGGATCATTTTTTAGATTTTGTCTTTACAATTTTATCCTCTATAGGTTTTTTCTGATCAATTTTGATTCTCAATCTTTTTATAGCTATCATTTTTTCTTTTGACAAGTTTTTGAAATTGATATTTTTTTTCACAATTTTATCCTTAAAAATCAAATTGATTGCGAATTAAATTTCTTGATTGAAATTGGGTCAAAGTTTTCTTGATTTATCTTAATTTAATCTTTAAACATTTAATCTATTTGAAATTGGTCTTTCTATCCTTTTTTTTTCTATTAAGTTATTATAATCTTGTGCCATGGTTGCGAGGTTTACGGGTTAACTCAAATTAACTTTTTTTTTTGTTTCTATGGGATTAATCCCGAGTTCATAACCATAGTCATTGGTTTCAAAGGTTTACACGGATTGACTCTTTTTTGGGTTTTTTAATAATTGATTTGTGGGTTTTTTTTATAATTGATTTGTTTTAAGTTTATTCTTCGACATTTGATTTATTGAAAATTAGTCTTTATATTTTTTTTTTCCTTTCATTTCTATTGGGTTATCTTGATTCTATGTCCATAGTCGTAGGATTTATGAGTTAACCACAATTGAATCATATTTTTCCTGTCGCTTTTTTAAATTAATTTTTTTCGTTTTTTTCCTTCAATATTGAGTTTTTCATTAATTGAGCTTAATAACTTTATTCAATTTATTTTTAAACATAATCATCCTATTATCACGACTAGGTTAGAGATTTTATAGTGTGACCTAGATGGATTCAAATTGATTTTTCTAAAACTTTTTTCATTTATTTTTTTTAATTTTTGTACTTTATCATTTTATTGGTTAGAAATTAAGCTTTTGATGTTTTTCTTTTTATTTTTCTTTATATAAAGTTATCATGTTCTCATTTGATTTATTAATAATTGATTTTTAATGAGATTATTTTAATTTTATATTAATAGTCACGAAGTTTCTAAATTAACCTGATTTGATTAGTTTTTTTTTGTAGTTTGATCCATCAATATTTAATTGTTTGATAATATAAGTAAGCTTAGATGAGTTTTTATGGATTTTTTTAATTATTATTTTTTTATTAGTTTATTTAGTATTATTTTATTTTTAGTGATATTATTTAGCCTATTTTTTTTTAATATTTCATTTTACATTAATATTTTTTTCTACAGACTCGCAGTCGAGAACGGGACGCAAATCTGGTAACATCTAACACGGATTGGCTTGTCAAAATAATTAATGACATAAGGTTGTGGAAATAAAACACCATATGATTCAAAATATAATATAAAATATTATAAATCACTTGTAGCGTTGCTTCTTCTCTACAACCACAGGTATCCCCATCGTAATCTCTCAGATATATACAGCAAGTTCAACTCAATTTTCGGTGATTTCAGTTGTCATTTGAGTAGCTAAGGCCAAAGCCATGGCATCCCTCCTCTTATTACTGCTCCTGTCTCCACTCTCCACCACCGCAGCCTCCAGCGGCGCTTACCCTACCATCCCCGGCAGCACGGACACCTCTTTCCCCGCTTCACAAGACAGCAAACTTATCCCAATCAGGCGTGAGGTGTATGGTGATGGGAGAATATTTGACATAACCCACAGGTACACAAGCGACATGCCGTCCATGGGATCAGAAAATGGGCTGGGTCAGTTCCTGAGGCTCCCTGCAAGCATGAAGAATGGGTCCTTCGCCAACATATCGGAGATGAAGTTGATCACTCATACTGGCACACACGTCGATGCACCTGGACATTACTATGATCATTACTTCGATGCTGGGTTTGATGTGGACACTCTTGACCTTGAAGTGCTTAATGGTAATGAAAATATTCTTATACTTACATATATAGCTAGTTGTGGTGTTTTGTTGGTTTAATCCTGTTTTTTTCTTCTCTCTTGTTAATGGGCTTGTGGAAAGGAATAAGGTTTTTGTATGGTAGATGGTGCGTATATGAGAACCTGATCGATCTTGAAATTGTTGTTTCAATAGGTCCTGGACTATTAATTGATGTTCCAAGGGGGACGAACATAACTGGTATGTTTTCCATTTTGTTCTCTGTGCATATTTTATTGTATAAATACAAACTCAGAGAATTCTCAACCTTTTTCTACCGTAGTTTTATCAGCACTGGTTTTTCTTTCTTAATTTTCTCAATGTCCTTTCTTCGGCTCTTTTGCGGGTCAACAGTAGTTTTTTTTTCTTCCTCTGTTTTTTACCAGAATTTATTCAACAGAATTGTCTCTTTTGTACAGCTGAAGTTATGAAGTCCTTACATATTCCCAAAGGAGCTCGACGTGTTCTTTTCAGGACAGAAAATACCGACAGGTAATTCTATGTGGGTTGATGTATTCACTGGCTTAAAAAAATTGCTGATTAAATTAAAATATAAGAGAATGAACAGTAAACTCAATTCAATATGAAAACACCACACCATTTAGATTATACATAATTACATTGTCAAGAAACTCTAATTGGATTAATTTTAAATATAAATAATTTTAATATTAATAGTGTACGAAACTGTTTAAAAAATATACTAAATCAACCTCAAGTAGATAGTAAAAAAAAAAATCTAAAAATAACAAGAAAAATAAAAAATTAATCCAAAAATAATAAGGAAGTAATGAAAATTCCAAAACATGAACTTCCAAGCTCTAACTTGGGCATGAAAACGACTTTAGTTGGTGCTAACTAGCTTATTTTACATAGACCCGGGTATGTCGAACGTGCTTACAAAATTTCAGAGTGATTTAACATTTGAATTAAAAATTATGCTCATTTTTATTATTTAACTGGTTTGATTAGTTCAAACTTTTTTTAGATTTATAACTGTGATGGCATATAAATTTACCTATTAAACGTAATGCATGAATTGATATGCCTTTTGCGTCAAAATGAATGATTTATATAGAAGGGATCATCTCATGCTTCAATCAAGGATAAAAAAAACTTCTTATGAGTGCATCAATCCATAGCCTAAATGGAGCCTAGAAACTACTTATGGTAAAACTTTCGATTTGTTTCATGAGTTTTCCATGGAAAAAATTGTGAGGCCAATATGCTGTAAGAACCTCAAATACGGTGGGGGCTGGCCGAGACCATTAGATTGGGTATGCTGATTGCCGATATGGGTCATAGCTATTTATTTACGTATCTGATAACTAAAAATTTCAGGCGACTTATGTTCAAAAATCAGTTCGATACAAGCTTTGTGGGATTTACAACGGATGGAGCAAAATGGTTAGTAGACAACACTGACATTAAGCTTGTTGGTAAGCTACTAACCTTTTTCAATCTAGCACTTCTGTTCTTTAGCTATGTTTTTCTCAAAAACTTCTATGCATATGTTCTTTTTCAATGTAGGAATTGATTACTTAGCTGTTGCTGCTTGGAGTGATTTGGTTCCAGCTCATCTTGTCCTTTTGGAAAGCAGGGTGAGACTAATGCAGTGTAAAGTAATTAAATGATGTTTAATTTTGACTAGCATGTTGGAGCACCTCTTCATCTTGATTAGAAGTGATTATTTAAGCTACCATCGGTTTAATTTGGATTCTTCTGCTAAGCCACCTTCAGAATTTCGATAGTGTTCTCCGCTACAGTAGAAAGTCACTTTCAATTTTGTGATGATTAGGGAACTAAATTAATTAAGGTGGTATTATTGGTATCTGTGAGCTAAAAATTTATTTTCTGTAGAAGCAATTGACCTGATTTCTCCTCATTAAAAAAACAAAAAAAGTTTAAATTTTTTGCACTGGAAAAGAATGTGTTGGACATCAACACCTAAAACTAAATATGCCTAGTATGTTTCAGGAAATCATCATTGTGGAAGGCCTAAAACTCGATGACATCCAACCTGGTGTGTATTCTATCCATTGCTTGCCTATAAGAATGCTCGGTGCTGAAGGATCACCAACGCGATGCATTCTCATCAAATGATAACTTTATATTGTAAGTTTCTGGCATCTAAAGTACTGATTCCAAACTTGATCGTAATTTTCTAAAATTATCTGTCAAAGATACAATCAAGCTTTGTGCCAGTGACATGTACATTTTTGTTTGTTTCATATACAATTAATGGATCTTTCTGAAATAAATTTTGTACCATGGCATATTAACTTCTATTTACTGCCTCATTTCTTGGAGAAAACCATGATATCAGCCCAGGGAGGTATTGAGTAGAATAAGATGGTACTAACAGCCGACCATCCTTGTGCCTCCGAGGACTCTTAACCATGGTATAGATAAGACAGTAATAATATATTTTGAGTTCTCTGTTTTACGATTTATGAATGTGTTTAATGCTATTAATTATTAGATATAGTAATTGTGAAAAACCGTTAAATGATAATCTGAGTAAAATAAACAAACTACTGAATAGATTAAATAAAAAGGATTTTAAATATTGCAATTGGATACAATAGAATAGAATATAAGATGTTATAATGTAAATTAAGTAAAAAGAAGAGTTGAGTAATAAAAATGAGAAGAAATGAGGGTCAATGTGTAGATAGGTAAAAGTTAAACTATAAATGCTCCATTTTCTTCTCTCTTTGGGCAATGTGTAGATAGATAAAAGTTAAACTATAAAAGCTCCATTTTTTTTCTCTTTTGGCCGTTAGCTTGAAAGAAAGAGGGGGAAGAATTGTGTGATATCATACTTAAATTGTCATTGATTTCACTAATTAAAATGAATAATTAGAATGATTAACTTCATTAAACATTAAGAGGGGGTGATTTTAAGGTGTTGAGATTGGAGGAAGGATTTCAAGCTAGGGTTTGAAGAGGGAGAAGAAGAAAACTTGTTTTTTCTTTCATTCTTTCATTCTTTCCTTAAATCCTTATCAAAATTCCTTCATTCTTTGCTCCAAATGATTAATTCCTTTAATTTTATGTTTGATGAAGAATTATGTAAAATGATGATCATGTGAAGTTGTGTAATTATGTTATAATTTATAGGAATAATGCAAATTAACCATGTTAGAAAGTATGAATTATGATTGGGTAAATGTTTAATTTTAAATAAAAAAATTATTTTTCCCCATTTTAAATGAATATTTAGCCAAAAGAGGAATAATTTAGGAGATTTGAGGTTTTAGTGCAATTGTTTGGAAAATATGGGAATATAAAAGTTTATAAATGTTATTATATGAAATTAAAGAATTGAGTTCTAATAATATTATTGAGGAATCTTGCGAAACTAAAGACAATTGATATTGATAGGTTAAATTGAATAGGGATTTTTGTGAAAAAAATAAATAAATGATTCAAAAGGAGGGTTTTTATCCTTCTTGAATTACAAGTCAATCAAGCTTAATTAAGAGTGTTGGATTTAATCAAAGAATATGTAATGTGTATTAGAATTTTATCGGTTCAAATAAATGAACAATGACAAAGTAAATTTTATTGATACAAAAAAGGCTACATGACCTAATCAACAACAAGAGATCTCTTCACGCGCATGTACACCAGGTAGGTATTTGACACCTTTGAGTAATTAATTAGTTTATATTTTTTTATTGTAGAAGAAATTTTTATAGATTGTAATTTTTAGTGCTGGTTACTAGAAATAATGCCATGTTGAATGAGCAAGCCTTTAAAATTAAAATTATTTCCTGATTATTGGAAATAATGCCTTGTTGAATGAGAAAGCCTTGAAAATTAGAAAAAAATGTTGTATTGAATAGGCAAGCTGTAAAATAAATTAATTGTAAAACTTTGTTTTGAAGATAAATATGCTGATTTGTGATAGAGACTCTTGATATTTTTATCTTAGTAGATTTATCTCTATGTCTAGAAGAGAATTTATGAAATTAGAAATTTTAAAAAAGAAAATAAGATAATTTATTCGATGATATGAAAATCACTTTAATATATATGAATAGTTAGTCCTTAATCAATTACTTATTGAAATGCGCAATTTTTAATCATGTTTAATACGATTATGTTCTTAGGTACATCGCACCCTCGATTTAGAAAGTAGATGCTTGGATAAATAATTTTGTTATGTGAATAATGTAATTGGAAGAACTAATGTTTTGTTGTAATATACTTTCATATCTAAAAATTATAATATTTAACTTATTATCTGGTATATGATGTAATGTATAATATTTTTATTATTAAGTTGAATTATGGTTGGTTGTATATATATTTTGAGCATAAATACCTTAAAAAAGAGGTAAAGAAAAGAAAGAGATGATGTATGTTATGAATTTATTAGTTTTTATTATATTGTTCTATAGAAAATAGAATTAAGATATTGAAATATACTTGAGTTTTAAAAGTCCAAATGATGGGATGATGAGAAATAATTAAGTCAATAACTTGGTATCTAAAGAATATAAAATTTTTTTTGCTGAAATTTCAGGAAAATATATAATAAAAAAATTTTAATAACCACGAATATATATCATATAATTCTAGTTTAGAAGTTTGAGACTGATATACTAATTCATGTGCCAAAATTAGCTTACCAAGAAATTATACTTGTTATTAGCAGGGTATATCGATTGTTGTCCAATGATAATAACATGTTTGAAGTTGGCTTACAAATCTTAATTATTTGTCTTTCGCTTGATTCCCATTTTTTTTTTTGTCTGAATTGTCCACAATTCAACAACCAAAACTTACTATCAATCATTTATCCGATCACAAATCCAGCTTGATGACATGTAGTTTGGTATCAGGAAAATGAAGCAAATCAGTGGTTCCATTTGTTCCGAATCTATTCTCCGAGCCAGCGAAGGACATCAACTAGTGTGCTATTTTACCGACAAAACCCGGTAGAGGAAGGATTGCTCAGGGCACAAAAAGAAAAACTGAAGCAATGAAACCATTGCAACCTGTTAAATATGTAAGAATTTGATAACCTTCGCTGCCTGCATGAAGCCATGAATCCATCGGGGACATTTGTTTCGTTCTCTTTTGCATCTTGGTTGGTGGTAGCTTCTCATGTCTCTGGATACCTAGAAATGCAAGTGGCAACATTACAAGGCAGAAACCCCTCTTTTTATCCCTCTACCTTTTCTTTTCTTTTTTAACAATCTCAGATTTAATTATTTTTAGGAGCCCAAATAATTATGAATATGGATGTGTAAGAGCTAACTTTCATAGTTTTATTTGTGCTTTCACCCCTCAATTTTATTTTCTGTGCCGACTCCGTATTTGTTGAAGGAACCATAGTGGATAGAAGAATGGATTTACAATTGTATTGAGATTTCAAGAGATAAAGTAATTGAAGGGAGAGACTTGACTGTAGTCGTCGTTAGAGATAACAATTTATACCCAGGCGTACGGGCATTAACAAAATGGGGTTATTTTCTAGTTATTTTTATCAAAATTATATTGCAAAATTATTTTTTATATGTTTTTAAATTTTTTTTATATTTAGATTAATACTCTTTTTTATTTTGTTTATTGAGCTTTTTTTTTATTCCCCTTCTTATTGAGTTTTTTTAAATAACAATTATTTTCTGGTTATTTTATATACATTTAATTTTTAAAAAGGTTTTTCTATTTCATTTATAATTTTTTTAATTTTTTGTATAGATAAGTTTTATTTTTGAAAAAAAAATCTTATATGAGATTAAATATCTTGATCTATATCTTTTTATTTTTTTATTTTTTTAGTTTTATTTTTCGTTATTGTTTATGAATTTTTTTATTTATTAACATACAATATCTTGATTTACTTAATAACATAATTTTTTTTATATTCACTTAAAAACTTTTTTAATTACAAAAACATGTCAGAAAATTCTATGTATATAATTTTTTTTGTTAGGAAAAAAATATCAAATTCACAATGAAATATGAGTCAAATAACTAACTAGTATTCTTGACAGCTACTGGGATTATAGATCAAGATACCCCTCAATGCCCCCAGAATGCAAGAGAGACAGAGACATATAATATAGTGTTGGAGACCCTATAGATGCTGGATACATTTTATATGATAGGATAATTATTGATTGCCGAAGCCCTGCCAGCTCCTTTCTCACAGCTGCTTCCTGTTCTACTCCTGTAATTGATATAATACTTGAGAGCGTGATTGATGATTTCAGGCGTGCCACTGTCATCTTCAGGCAGCACCTGCTAAAGGGTTACTGTGACAATTTTTTTAAAAACTTTAATGTTACAGTTTGTATCACTAAAATATGTATCCACATGTTTGCATTAATATTTGTGTTATGATGAATTTAATGAAAATAATTACTATCCCTTACCTTGCCTATTACCTCAATTAATTGTCCAAGGTTTGGTAGTCTGATATGAATGCTACTTCCATGTGTTCACATCACATGCATGTTCTTTGATTAAACCTGGGATCGTGATATTATCATGTCACGTGTTCACTGGTTAAATGTGCCCTTAATTCATTTATCAAATGCTTAGAGATCGAAGCGTCCTTTGTTTATTTGTCAACCAGCCAATATTTGAGAATGAAAATATCAGTTTGTGTTGGTGTCGCAGTGATTGGAACACCCGTATTCTTGGCTTAAATAGCGATATGATATGAAAACGTACGTGAACCTGTATTTTTAAAAATTTCATTTTATTTATTAAAAGTTAATTTTTTAAATATATTTTGGATTGTTTTTATGTGCTAATTTTAAAAAATAAAAAAATATTATTTTAATATATTTTAAAATAAAAAATACTTTAAAAAGTAATCACAACTACACTTCCAAACATGCTCTTAATCTAAACCCAAGATTCAACCCAAATCCAACCTAATTAACCTATATTTTTAAAGAAAAAGTTGCTAAGAACATTGTGTTTTTTTTTTATCTGTTGTGACTTTCTTTTTTTATTTACAAAGGATTTCAATTTCAAATTGAAGTGCTTGGTTCAAAAAAGATTGAAGAAACAAGTATCTTTTTTTTTTTTTTGTTTTTTTCAATTAGGGATTAATTATAGAAGGATTTAAGAAGTAATTACTGTTTTTATATTATGTTAATGATATAATGATTTAAGGGATTAAATTAATGTATTAAGATCCTAGTTGCCTTGAAACAAACTCATTTAATGTCTTGAATTATGGGTTGTTAAAAAACAAATTATGTTATTATAAAGTTTATAGATTCATAGACTAATAGATCGAGATTTTAGAAATCTTGATAAACTGGTAAACTGATCTGCTGAACTAACTGATCAACCAACTGATTGTTGCCAATTGACTAGTTGGTTTAAATTGGTTGTTCGGTTGGCTTGTAATAGTGGTCAACCGGTTGGTTATTCCGGTTGATCCAATAATAAAGTTTTATCAGGTCTGTTAAATTTGATCAGTTTGAGTTATGTTTGGGATCAATTGAGTGAAATAGTTTGGTTTTATATTTACATTTCGGTCTTTAAGCTTAGATTTTTTTAATTTTTTTAGCTTAGACTTTTTAATCTTTTATGTTATGTTTGTTCGAGTAATCTTTTAAGTATTTTTCTTATTTGTTATAAGTTTTGCTGATATTTCTCCTAATGATCTTTAATAATTTTTTGTTTTGCATTTGCTTGTCTTTTGCTTTTATTTTTTTAGAGAGTGAGATATTCTTTAATATGCATATAATAAAACATGTATGCTATATTGATTATATGATAAGTATAGTTAGTTAATCTCTTGAATATTTATATATATTGTTTTATTTTTTGAATATTAATTTATTCTTAAATTTTCACTCATATTATATTAAACTAAATTTCATATCATTATATATATTGCTCTGATAATTATGTAAGTATCTATTATGTCTTGATGTTAGTATACCTGTAACTATATGCTAACAGAGAATAATTAATTTATATATATATATATATATAATATTTTGTATATCTAATTAGTAGGAGAAATATCAATCTATAACAATCAATCCTCCTATAATTATTATTTTTAGATGTTATTTAATCATCTTAGGGTATCATATGATCTTTAATAAATATATCACTACTTTATGTTAACATGCTTAATATGTATATTTATATTAACATATATTGAGTTACAAAATATTAATATGTGCTTAATATGTAATTTGTATGCATGATCTTAGTATCTTTATGTGAGAATAAAGAAGAAAACAATAAAATATCAAGAATATTTTTTTAATATAAAAAAAGAGTATTGTCTATCCATCTAATTAATATGCGCGCAGAACTGACCAATTTCAGGGCCTATCCTAATTAACGGTGTAGAAAGGTATCACAAATATAAATATACCACACTTGTTCACTTCAATTTGACACTAAAGAGTCAAGGAGATAATATTTATTTTAAATTATAATGTCCCGCTATTGTTTTTGACGAGCAACAAGACACGAGCAACACGGAACTCCATACACGGAGATTGCAGCTCGGAGCTAAAACAATGCCGTTCCCGATCTGACAAGTAAGCCATACAAAAAGACTTGTTTAGTTATGATAAAAAGTCATATAAAAATACTTGTTCAATACAAGTTGATCATTGGTCGGTTCTCGAATTTAGAAAAAAAGAAATAGTTCTTCTGATCAAGGCACTCCCGGTAACAATTTGATAATACAACTGAGCTATGACTGCTGCTCTATGTGTATTTGATACTGATGTAATGTATTTTTTAAAAAATATTTTTATTTAAAATATGTTAAAATAATTTATTTTTATTTTTATACTGACCCATTAAAATTATAAAAAAATATTAATTTAATATTTTTTAAGATAAACATATTTTAAAAAAACATATAAAAATATAAGCTACTGTACTCTTTACGGGATCTAAAACCAGAAGAAGGTGACATTCAAGAACCATCTGTGCAATGTATTTACCAAACTCGAAGACAAATATAAAAGACATTTACAAGTCTTGATAGCCAAGAAATTGAATAGAATAAAATGGTGCAAGAGACACCTTATATGTATGATTTTTCAGCTAGGCATATAGCAGAAACAAGCTTCTTTAAAGAAACACCAAAGAAAAGAAAGATCCATTTCGTTGCAATAGTGATATTGCTGATACCAAATTATAAATTCACGGCTTCCAAGTTCATATACAACCAAAAGTAGTATTAGAAAAATCCAAGAACATGACCCTCGCTCCATCATACACATAGTTTGTTATACTGATAATACAATTAAAATAAAATGCCCGTTAGTGCAATGATTTTGCCGAAGGGAGTTGTTTATTTCTTGAAAGGATTAGATTCACTGCTCGAAACCCAAGAGTACATTTGAAGTCCATCTCAGACAAGTATAATTAAAAAAAAGAAGACATTATAAGACATAATAATCTTACTTGCATTAGTGTTTTATTGACAACTTGGGGAAAAAGTAAGTTTTTTTATCTTAGTGAATATTAATATTTTTGCAGCCCAGTGGCATTATTAAAAAAATCTCAGCAGGATGAATCAAAGACTCATGCCTTACAAAATAATTAATTACTAGTTTTGTTGCGTGGACTCCCTTTTTTATGTGGATTTGGGATGTTAATAATGTTCCTGTGAGTATCTCCTTGTAAACAGCAGGTATAATCTCATAATTTACATAGCAAACCGAGTTAAAGCCCAATATGACCGTTGTGGGTGCGTGTTCAAGATGGCTAGCCATGTGAGCATCTTCTTGTAAGAAGTTCGGTAAATCAAACACGGTCAAAACCCGATATGAATCTAATAAAACACAGATGGAAGGTGATGTTGGCCATGTTTTTTTGCGAAGAAAAAGTATAATCGTTGTTGATTTCTTGAACACCAAAAACAAAAGAGTGCAGGCCATTGGGAACAAGTTGATAGTGTCATTAAACCTGTTCCAATCTTAAGATTTTCTAACTTGTTTCTTACATATAATTTGGACTCGAAATTAAGCGTATGAAAATTACTAAAATGAGATCAAATTAATTTGGTGTAATTTGGTGAGGTTAAAGATAATTTGAAAAACAATTTTTTTATATAAAAAATAGGGTGACATTTGTTTTAATACTAAGACAAATATATATTATATTATCCTTGTAAAAACTGAACTTGACTTCAAATTTATAACTCGTGATATGGGCATCTTATAAGTCGGTTCTTTGTTTTTTTCTTATCCTCACTTTAGTTAAGCTTTTATTGGGTTTTGGGTGTAATTGAATGTGGGTCTACCTTAAAGAGCTATTTAATAATTAGAGATTCAATTAAAATAAAATTAAAATAAAAAGATTTGAATGTGGTTTGGACTGAATTTAGAAATCATTGATGAAGGTTTAATATGAAAGCATGAACTAAAAACACTTTTTCTAGAAAGCATGGGGAGCAAGCATCATACATGCCTACACGTGGAAAGAAATGCAGGACTAAAGTGGCTCGTGCGGCATCATCCCGCTTGCAAAGGCAGTCTTTTTTGGTATCTTCAGAAGCGTGTTGATGTCTTCTTCCAATACAAGTGATACATGCAGTCCTTTTCTCCTCGTACTGGCGACGATGTCCTTTTTCCTTCTTTGTTTTTTTCGGTAATCTACAATATTAAATTGTCAAATATAAACTAATTCAAAGTAACAAATTTAATATATATATATATATATATATATATATATAATCAAATTATATAATTAGCACAAATATAATAGAAAAATCCTCACTGCACTGCCAATCCCAAAGGGATGATCTGCGCATTAATTCATAATAAGGTTATAATTAAGTGATCGTAATATGGCTAGACAACATATCATGGCAATTCCTCATCCCAGAAAAATGAAAAATGAAATTGATATTTACAAATAGTTTAATGGTAGTATACAAAAACTTACACTTGCATTTAAATATTTAGAATATTCAAGTAGGAAACTATCCAACGAGCTTCCTCGATCGGCATCCCCTCTACACGTTAAATATCAACCATGCACCCAAAGAAACCGCAGACATCGTCTTCACAAGATAGTACCTTGTTCATTTTCTTTAACAATCTCTAACTCATTTCACAATGGTCAAAGCCAAAGGCATGACGCCTTTCCTATTGCTACTCCTCATCTCTCCCTTCTCTACCAGCACCGCCTCCAACACTGCCTACCCCACCATTCCCGACACCACAGACACCTGCATCTCCTCTTCGCAAGAAAACAAACTTGCCCCAGTTAGACGTGAAGTCTATGGTGATGGTAGAATCTTTGATATTACTCATAGGTACACAGCCAGCATGCCATCTTTCGGCACAGAAAATGGACTGGGCCAGTTCTTGCAGTTCCCTGAAAAAATTAAGAATGGGTCCATGGTCAATGTATCTGAGATGAAGATGGTGACTCACACTGGCACACACGTTGATGCACCCGGGCATTTCTATGATCACTACTTCGATGCAGGGTTTGATGTGGACACTCTAGACTTGGAAGTGCTCAACGGTAACTGTATACAAACCATATCAATCTTGATTAGAGTCCTTGTTTTAATCTTTACAACAAGTAGAGATAACAATTTAATCAGATTTCCACGGATATTCACCTTACCCGAATAAATAATTATTTATTAGATAATTATTAATAAATAGAATATAAATATCGTTATACTCAATCTAAAATTCATTCAAATCTACCCTAATATATATATATATATATATATATATATAACTATATAACATTTAGATTTTCTTTAATACAATACAATATATGTATATTTTAATATTAATATAAAACACACATATATTTATAATTTTATTATTTAATATATATACACACACTTCAAAAATATATATTAACTATTTTTATTTTTTATTGAAAAATAAATAATAATTAAATAATTGATACTCATATACATAGATATTCGAAACCTATAGATAATTTATAATTAATTATCTAAATTCTTTACTATATAATATATAAAGAAATATGACTCTTGGGTTCCATTACCATCCCTAACAACAAGTCCCTTCCTCGTTGGATGTTAATATGTAGAAAAAAAGTATACTTTATTGGTTAAAAAAAATTAGACAAGTTAATCTACTAATAAAATTAGAGTACATTTCACATGATTTATGAAAAACATGTTTTTTAGCCTTGAGTTTAATTTTAAAAGTTAGTTTTTTTATAAATAACTTATGAAAAAGAAATTAAACTTACTTTAAGTTGAAAATACACTTCATAACAACAGTTATAATTCAAAATAATTATTTATTTTAAAAGAGATGTAGTATAAGTTAAATTTCATAAATTAAAAGTTAAAATTAAATTTTGATTTAATCCCGTAGGTGGGAAAAGGTGGTGCAGTTTGTCTTTTAATTTTGTAATATTCATCTTTTTTTTTAATTGACGAGATCTCGTCCGTTGTTTTTTTTTCTCTCTCTCTCTCGGTGTAGTGAATGTTATTAATTACTAATTGTTTAAGTGCACTTAATTATAAAGGTCCTGGACTATTAGTCGATGTTCCAAGGGGTACGAACATAACTGGTATGTATTTTGGTTACTATAATAATTATCTATGTTATTCGGCTGTTTTGTGACGTTTGCACCACCTTAATATTGCCATTTTGCAGCTGAGGTCATGAAGAGCTTAAATATTCCGAAAGGAGTTCGGCGTGTTCTCTTCAGAACAGACAATACTGATAGGTAAACCAAATATCCTACAGATCTTAAACTTAAACAAAATATATGAATCTAAATATTTGGATTTATATATTGAAAAGATGTTGAATCTACACAACATATAATTATGATTTGCAACAATATATCCTATAAATCTTAAATTTAAACTCATAATCATTGTAAGATTAGAACTATGGTGATTCAAATTAGAAGTCAATTTAGATATTTATACTTTATTTATTAAATCTCCAGTATTCATATAAATATATATAAATATCTATTGTACAACTATTATTTATTATTTAAAATAATGTTATATATATTTTGAATTTGTCCGTGTATAGATATAAAATTATAAATGTTTTAAATGTGTGTCAGGTTAGATTTGTGCTGTTTTCAAATCAAGTTTTATAATATTTATATTATATTCATTATATTATATTCATCATTGGATTAAATTATCACCCTTTTATCCAAAAAAAAATTGAATTAAAAAATACACTCATTCAAGTTGTTTTGACAAAATTATCAGAATGGTCAAGATTTCAACCGGACGTTTTTTATACACCAATTGACAAGATTGTAAGGCCCAAAGGGCTTGAATGGAAAATACATGACATTTACTGGGCGCGGCGCAGACTCTTATTATATTCGAATGTGACGATTTTTTGTTTTCGAGCATTGCTAAAATTTATCATCTGAAGGAAATTAAATTGGAAATTTCCAGGCGACTTATGTTCAAAAATCAGTTCGACACAAGCTTTGTGGGATTTACTCAGGACGGGGCAAAATGGTTGGTAGAGAACACAGACATTAAGCTTATTGGTAAGCTTTTAATCCATCTTCTTCAATTAAACATTTTCCACGTTCTATAGTTTAGTTTTTGTCAAACTTCTGTGTGTGCTGTGTTTTCTTGAAAATTAAACTGGTGTTTCCCTAACAGATGAGTTAATTTGTTTACCTTGCCAACGTAGGAATTGATTACTTATCGGTTGCCGCTTGGAGTGATTTGGCTTCAGCTCATCTCGTCCTCTTGGAAAGCAGAGTAAGTCTAATTTGTCGTCCATTGATATTAAAGGATGTTCAACACTAATTAATTGTTATGCTAATTGTGTTGCAGGAAATCATCATTGTGGAAAGCTTAAAACTTGATGACATACAACCTGGATTATATTCCATCCATTGTTTACCTCTAAGGTTGCTAGGTGCTGAAGCTTCACCAATAAGATGCATTCTCATCAAATGATAATCTTTCACCGTAAGTTTCTGACATCTTAATTAACGTATTTAGCTTCCGGTGAGATGTATTTTCTTTCTCTAGGAGAGAAAAATCTTCGTTCAACCAAAGCAAACGATAGTAGATACCCTTAGGCATATTACTTCCCACTATATATTTTTTTCTCTTTTATTATTGAACTTGTTATAGATTCAAGAGAATTGCTGAATTCTTGCAGGAAATGGTGATCTAAGCTTTGGTTGGTGGACAAAAATAAGATAAAGCGGACAGAGGATCAGGGGCTCTGGCAGCTTGAAGCTGTTTTATTAGGGTTTTTAGCCTATGGTGGTTGTATTTTTGCTTTTGTTTATGGGTTGTTCTTTATCATTGCGAATGGTATGTGTTTGATGACAAAAAATAAAGAAAAAAAGAAAAAAATAATTACGTAACTTCTTACAGCTGTAGGTGATTGAATTGACAATCTAAATGGATGAAGATGAGAATAATAAAATATAACTAACTTTTTCTATATGGGTTTGGTAGGGATAACAATATTGGAATAACTCTACATTAATTCCTATATATATATACACACACATGCTATACATTCTATATAATATGCCCCTTCAAGTTGAAAATGGAGAATCAACCCGAAGCATGTAATAGAAAGCAGTAAAGGAAACAGTAGAAAGTGGCTTGGTGAAGAAATTCGTAAGCTGGTCCTGAGAAGGGATAAAGCGAATATGAATTTCTTTCTTTGCAACTCGATCTCGTACAAAATGATAGTCCACCTCAACATGCTTAGTACAAATAAGAAATTGTGTGTTGCTTGCCTGACTTCTATTAACAAATATTGAAGCTAGATGACCTTAGCAGTACCGTCTGCTAAGACTTTATACTCGGTCTCAGTAGATGAGTAAGCAACTGTGTGTTGCTTGCCTGACTTCTATGAAATTAGCATCTGAAAAAAAAAAAAGACAAGGTAACCACCTGTAAACTTGCAATCATTAATACTACTAGCCCAATTTGTATCTGTAAAACCATGTAAAAGGAAGGAGGAACCTTGAGTGATATGGAAACCATAAGATAATGTACCTTTAAGGTAGCGTAGAATGTGTTTAATGGCTGCCCAATAAGAATATGTAGGAGCATGTATAAATTGACAGACTCTGTTAACAGCAAGACAAATATTTGGTACTTAAGAGCACCCATGATTTGATGAAATTGTGTGGGATCAGAAAATGAATTATTTGACAGTATAGTAACTTTTACAGGAAAAACTAGAGTATCTACAGGTTTATAGGAAGTCATACCAACCCGAGTGATGATATCAAGAATATATTTGTGCTGGTGCAGCATCAAACCCATTCCTGTAGACTAAACTTCAATATCAAGAAAGTAGTGAACAACGTCTAAGTCACGGAGCTTGAACTCAGAGCTCAGTAACTGTATTAGGTGATGAGGCATAACAGAGTTGCTACCCATAAGTAGAATATCATCAACATACACAGGAGATAAAAGATATTAGTATCATCAAATAAGATAAATAGGGAGGTATCAACCTTGAAGGTAAGAAAACCAATGGAAAACAGAAATGAGTGTACTAAGCCCTTGGTGCCTATTTTAAACCATACAACTACTTGTGCAATCTGCACACATGAGATAGAAGAGTAGAGTTAACAAAACCTGAAGGTTATTTTATGTAAACCTCTTTAGTAAGAACACCATTGAGAAATGTATAATGAATATGGAGTTGATGAATCTTCCAATTGCATGAAACCATAATAGAGGAGACTAATCTGATGGTGGCCTACTTCATAATTGGACTAAAGGTTTCAGAATAATCAATGCTTTCCAGTTGGGTAAAGCCTCTAGCAACTAGACGAGCTTTATAATGCTTAATGTTACCATCAACATGACATTTGATCCAATACACCCATCTACTGCGAACAACATTTATTGAAGGATGAAAGGGAATTAAAGCCCAAGTATGATTAGAAAGCAATGCCCTGATCTCATCACACATAGCATTATGCTAAACGGCATACCTATCAGCATCAGAGAAGGTAAGAGGTTTAGAGGAAGAAGAGAGTAGTAACCGGGTGAAAGCTATATCAGCGGTAGCAGAAGCTACCATATTTGCTGTCCTTGGCTGCTGCGGTTTAAGGACCACAGGATGTCGGCTATTCAAGAGCGGTGACGCAAGAGAAGATAGTGGCAATGTGGTGTCATGTTGCAGCAAATTAGAGGAGAAATTAACTACTAGATTCAAACCAGCTAACGAGGCTGTAGGAGAATCTACAACAAGTAGAGGGCTGGCAGCAACAATAAGGCTGGCAGTAGAGGTAGACTTTATAGCAGCCTGGACACTAACTAAATAAGGAGAAGTAGAGGAGGAACTAGAGGGCATCCTAATATTAGCATATGCATCATGCTAAAGGTAGGGGAGACTGATTTACAACCTGTACCTGTAGTAGAATGGTTAGATAAATATGCATGTGATGATGGGCAAGTGAAGGGTGGATGATTTGATATTTTGGTAGTGGGTGGTGGCAAAGCAAAGGTAAAGAAAGGATGATGATGTGTTGTATAAGTGGTGAATGATGGGGAATAGATCAGATTTGAGAGAAGGGCAGTGGCAGGTTGGGTAGGGGTTGTAGCTTAAACCTTTTCAATCTGCTTAGAATTATTAAACAGAAACACATGTTCATGAAAATAGATATGACGAAAGATATAAATACGTTGAGATGCAATGTCAAAAAACACAAATAAAGAGGAACAAAAATCCAATTTATGACTGTTATAGGGACGCAAAAAAAAAAGAGCAGAGACATCCAAAAGTACAAAAAAATGATAATCAGGAGACTGTTAAAACAAACAATCAAACGGGGATCGATTTGCAAGAACAAGAGTAGGCATGTGATTTATGAAATAAACCAAAGTGTCAAAAGCATAATTTAAAAATGGAATGGTGCTTTACATTGTCCTAGAAGAGTAAGATCAGTTTCTATAATATGCCTATAACTATATTCTATTGTGCCATTTTGTTTATGAGTGAGGACAAATCAGACAATGATGAATACCAATGGTATGAAAGAAAGTGGATAGTTTGCGATACCAATAGGTATAAGAAACTAATGAGACAAAAGACCTAAACAAAGCATAGAGACTATCCTTACTCTGATGTGAGAGAAGTACTTCATTAGTATTGAGATCCTTAACATAAAACACTAATGGGTGAAATTCAAAATAAACATTGTTATCGAGATAAAATTTATGAACAGAAAGCAAACATTTTGTAATTTCAGAAACATGAAAAACATTAGACAAAGTAAAGGAGTGATATGGTGTATATATTTTAGTATGATTGATATGAGATATAAGAAGTCCCTTACCATCACTAACATGCAAATTATCATTACCGAGTTAAAGTGCTGAAGCAGTCAACGTTGCAAGGTCAGGTGTGACGTGGTGATTGACACTGGTGTTCAGAAACCATTTTGTAATACCTTTAGGATTATGCGGTGCTAGATTTGTACTAGGTTGTTATCCATAGCCCCGATGCTAAAGTTGAGGGCAGTGAGGAGTAGTATAGCTGAATGTTTGGCATAATTGGTAGCCTGAATTATGCCATCTACTGCATTGCCAATTCCTTTGCTAGTTGCCTTATCTATTATCACTGGTAAAGGAGCTGTAGAAGCTGTGAAAGTTTGGTCTGGAGATTGCAAAATTGTGCCCTTTATAGCTATACTGGTTTTGGACGCCAACCTCTATGAAAATGGCCCCTATTTCGACCAAAGTGTATAACGGACTAACATTAAGAGATAAAAGTTAAAGGAGGTGTGTTTGGCGTGGGCAATAAAGAAGCATTGATGGCAGTAGACCCCTTGGATAGATGGGGTGATTGGTGAATGAATTCATGTGTTAGAAGATGATTAAGCATATCTGTATATAAAAGAGGTCTTGTCGTAGTTATAAGGCTTGTTACTAAGTCCTTAAACTCTCTGTGAAGACCATGAAACACATATAAGTTGAAATCCTCTAACGAAATAGGCCAGTCAATAGTGGCTAACTCATCAAATAAGGCCTTAACTTTTTGAATAAATTGAGTTACCGACTTATCACTTTGTTGAAGGTCTTGAAAGGAGCCATGAAGTTGCATAATACGAGAATTGGATGTGGAGGCTAGAGTTTGCTTAAGTGTGCGCCAAACAAAACATGAGGTTTGACAGTTAACAACAAGATGAAGAACTTGCATGGATAGTGAAGAAAGCAAAGCACTTAGAATGAGTTGTCCTGTTGTTCCTAATAAAGAAAGAGTTGGTTTACCTGAAGAGAGACACCATCGGCAACAAGAACATGTGGAGATAAGTAGTAGTTGGAATCATTAACAAAGCTGAAAACTCTTTTGCCTAGAAAATACGACTTCATCTGCATTCGTTAATATGAATAACCGGTGTTTGTTAATTTGAGAAAGATGACTTGGTGATTGTAAGAGAGGGAGACAATTGCAATAACAGAGGCGACAGAGACTACATCAAAAGAGTGCTATAATAGAGAAGCATTGTTGGGGTTGAAGATAGCATGAGCATCATCTGTGGGTTGTAGCCACTATAGAATAGAAGCTAAGAAAGATAGTGGTGCTATGGCAAGAAAAGAAGAGGGCACCATCAGTGCTACAAGGGGAGAGGTAGCAAGCAGCTGGGATGAGGAGTCCATTGGAGAGGGGAGGAGGTGTTTTAGTTTATTTAGAGCTCTGATTCCAAGTTGAGAATGATAGAATGACTTAGGTTATATCTTAGCCAACCTTTCGTCTATCTCTCTCTCTCTCTCTCTCTCTCTATATATATATATATATATATATATAAGAATTAATGTAGGGTTACTCCAATATTGTTATCCCTACGATTTCTGCTGTGTACTGTCCGTAGGGATAACAATATTAGAGTAACCCTACATTAATTCTTACACACACACACATTCTATAATATATGAAAAATGGTATACTCTAAATAACCAAAATTTAATGC